ATCCGTGAATTTCAATAACACACAAGAAACTATCGTTTTAATTAGTTCGACAAAAACTTTAAACTCGAAACCATAAAGGCGGTTAGCAACAACAGATGTTCTAACAAAGAGCGGCATTTACGATGTTTTTGCTACTAGACGTACGGACGGTACAAGAAAACGCATATGTTTTTCTTAAAAGGTTTTTTTGGTGAAATTCTGTTAGCAAAATGGTCTTGTTGAGTTTGAAGTAGCCCATTTCAGTGTAGTACTTTTAGCGAACGGTTGTTCCGTTTTTACTATCTTTCCCTTTGCGGATATTAGCACCACAAGAAGCACTAGTAAAAACTACATATAAATCACTTAAGGTTTAATTGCTGACCGATGTAAGCGAAGTGGATGTTGAAAGGACTTTAATAATATTCTATTCACCATAGCAATATTATCATTCCGTGAACTTAACATTCTACTATTCTATTCCTAGTACACTATATAGGGGTCATTTACACAGTACAGTAATAGCGAGCGAGACAAATTCAATAGAGCCCATAATTCTCGCGAAACAGCCGAGAAAACTCTGGACAACATCAATAGGGCGAATGGACAAAATAGAGATGGCCATCGGATGTGGGTGGGAATGAGACAGTTAATTCTAATTATGACCGTATTGTGCGGCGAAATTTTATTGCTATCTCATTCGCTCATTACGACGGCAGGCGGTAATTGTGTTCTATTGTACTGTTCGGCAGACGACAGTTTTTTTCCCCGAACCGTGTGAATCTGGGACGGGGGTCGTAATTTGCGTTAAGGATCGCTGACTTTGTATTTAATGGATTTATATTAAAGCTACAGTGATTTTAGTTTGTATCTATTGATTACTATTACAATGTTTCTGCAATGTCATTTTTTCAGAGTCTGATGACATTAAAACGGAAGAAATAAGTATTCTATCAGATTTCTCCTTATCTTACTTTAAAATGTTTTTTTACTAAAATCTATTTACAAATATTAAAAAAATCAACATTAGCCGGATAATCCGATAAATCGATTGTACAAAATCGAATTCATAAATTGAAGTACAAAATCCTTGTACAAACAATCGCATTCTATTCGTTAAAAGTAACGACCTCATCGACTTTCGCTGAAAGGATAACAATATAAATAACTGCGTTTATTGTGTATCTATTTCTGAATATGTTGGCCTTTTAGAAGACCACTGATGGATTCTAAAGTTTCATCGCGGCCTGTCGGAGCGATTAGCGTCCTGACAGCTAATTTATATACTCAACTTACTGTTCTATTCCCGGCGGGAAGGTTGTAGACCTCGGTACGCATAGACACGGCAAATAAACGTGAGAGCAATTTTGTTGCTCCAATTCTAAATCTATGCTCCGATTCGTTTGTTTGTTTTGAAAAACAACAGCTGCGCAAAAACGTCACTGCAAGAAATTTGCATGAAAAGACCATAAAAATTCGCTTTATCAAGAAAAACACGCTCATTTATGTCAGTCTGATAAATATAGAGAGAGCATAATTATATCATTAATAACGTTATCTTGCTCCCTGAAAACCAAATTAAAGTGCACTATGGCTCACCATAAGCGGCTGCAACCGCTAACGACCTACTTAATAAACATACGTATAATGGCAGTATTAATTTCAACGACAGCCAATTGCTATCAGTATCGTAAATACGGCTAAAACCAACGCGTTGTACGCAACAAATGATCATTATCGAGCACAATACTGGCAGATGCGCGAAGCTCACACCTCATTGCTTTTTCCGTGACATTGCGCGATCCCATAAAAGATTATGGAGTTCTGTAATAATATTAAAGTATTGCGATGATTTATGACTGCTTTGAGAGTTGCCATTTCGTCTTTGAATGCAGTCACAGTTATGAGTTTTAGTCTGAATTGTATTTTACGCCAAGTACTAAATATTCGGTCCAAAGGACCATATTCTATTACCTCTTGATCTTTTAAAACATTGCTCATCCTTGGTCCTTTTGCTCGGGTAAGTTAGTTATAATTTCTACACGGTGGTCTACATGTCAAGGTTATCAGATCATTCATTAATTACTATAGATAATTATTATTCACGTCAATGTTTACTTTATTTACAATAATTAGTCATCTTTATCTTTATTATTTACGACATACTTTGTCCCTTTATGAAGTAAATAAAAATAAGTTATAACATTTCTAAAGGTAAGTTTTGGATCAAAGAGCTTTTGGTTTTTGTGTGATCATTCTATGAGATTAGCCTTGCTTTAGGAGACATTGTGACAAATCCGAACATCGGCGGCGTATCCCAACCCCTTTTAGCTCTAAATCTGGAACAATTTTCGGAATGGACTGCCTTGACAAATAATTTGAGGACAAATTGGTCTAACAGCTACACTGCTAAGTGGGAATGTTTGTGTAGTTAAATATTTCTCGCGACACATATGGATATAAAGAGCTTTTAATTTTATTCTTTCTTTAATGTTCGGAATGTGAAACGTTTAAATGAATACTTACACATGAATAGATCAGATATTAAGAATACTCATAAATTAAAATTTTATGCATGTACGTAGAATAATTATTTTTTTACATATTACATCAAAGCTAACATAGGTTATGAATTCTTTATCTGTGCAGACGAAGTCAACATTACCTAGTAGATACTGTTTTTCTCTCTAATAATTTATGCCATTTCTCTTAATAGGTTTACAATAGTTGAACCATTTCAAAGAGAAACCGCTTAACAAAACAAAAACTTTATTCAATTAAAGTTTCATTCATAACTTCTGAGATAATATTAACTAATTGCCTCGAGCGTTACCACCTACCTAACTAAACACTGTAATTTAATTTAATATTTAGATCACTATCGAGAGATATTACCGAAAATTTATAAAAGGGATATAATTAATTTCGTACACATACATATTTCAAACTGTATATTACAAGGCGCGTGTGTGAATATCTGAGTGCCATCACTTATCATCTTTACAGAGACATAAATTCACGAAAAATCGTTATTCCAAGCCATCACCCTAAAAGCAGGGCTGCTTGTGTGCATTGCATGCTCGTAAATTACCCTACGACGACGCACTAAAATAGCGTAACACCCCAATACCATGGGAACGAAGGACCCACCCTACGACCTCACGCTAAATGCCTACAAATCTGTCGAACGGGCCAGAATCAAAAAGACATCGAGATCTGACGTAGCGACCCGATTAGAAACGCCCGTTCAATAAACAATTTATTGGGGATAAAGAAATTTCTCAAACACGAATGATAAATGCATCAGTCACGCGATGAAAGAGCTGCGTAAATTGGAATGAGGCGGAAGACTGAACAATGAAGGAGAGAAGACGCAGCCGGAAGCATCGCGGATTTTTCCCTGTTATCCCAACAACAATGGAAGTCAGTTTCAATACTCACCTAGCCTGCTTACCATCTTTTGTTTAATTAATTATCCGACGGACGGAATAATTAAGCTCGAATTCGAGGCCGTGATTAAAGCCGCTCTATTCTAAAATATTAATAATATCAGGTGCACATTGTTTGGTTGTTAAATGGGGGTAATTATCTGCGTGCTTCGTGTAAATTTATTGCACAATTTTTATAAAAGATCACCCCGGAGGAGAAATATTTGAACCAGTCCGTTTAGCACTTGTAAATAAATATTTATCATGTTTATTTAGTGTTAATTCGAGCCGTATATCAATTAGGGTTGTAGCAATGAATGGAACAGTAGTTGGAATCGGTGATCGGTCATTCGGTGACAGTGGTCTCGATAGACTAGCTTCCAATGGAGCGGGAAGCATCTATGGTTTCATGGCACCAGCCGCCATCAATCAGAACGTTCGCAATACGGCCGATAATGTATCGCCAACAACCCAACATTTAATTGTTGATGGATCGCTACGAATCCCCGACAGGCGAATTACACGGCCGAGTATAATATTTTCATGCGAAGAATTTTTTCATTCGCTCCAGCCGTGCATATTCGATACGGATTTATTATTTTCATCTTTACATCTTACCCTCTTTTGGGCTCGGAAGCGATACGTGAAATGACGGAAGATATGAAGGGCGGTAATGGAGGAAAATTGTACTTTATTCGATTTTGATAGACTTGGATAGAGAATTTAGGTCCCGATGTCACTGAAGGGTTTCGATGGGCTGTGATACGTTTTTGATAAGTAATTTTATGTCAGGAACAGACTGCAGGGTTCGGAGTATAAAATGTTAAATTAGCTTTATATATTTTTTACTGCTCAATTAGAACCTTTTCTGTAAAAATGCAAATTCAATAACCAAGTGACTCTATATATCTGCCTTTTTAAAGTAAAACCAGTCCTCATATTCATTTGTATACAAAATTGAAATGATCGAAAATCTAAAAATATAACCACAAGCCATTCAAAAACATTTCTTTAACTCCAATATAACACCCTGGGTGTTCTCAGTCATAAAAGCATATTTTTACACAACATTATCTTAGTTAAACATTACTTCTGAAGTAGCATTTTGATATATTTGTCTTCTTAGATAAGCAGCTGGCTCGAATGTCACCAACGCAACGTCTCAAAACTGGGTAAATAGTTATTTGAGTAAAGTATTTTTAAGCAGGTCACATTTATGTTGGATTACTTTGTTATCAGGAGCCAGGAATAACATAGCTTATGCTTTGTATTTTAAAATATAACACCTTTAAATTTGTTTTTTTTAATGAATTAACTACACTTAAGAAGATATATTGTACACATGGGCACATATTGTATGTATATTAAGTCCTCAAGGTCACGGCAATGGAAGGGGCAGATTTGTATCATTTTGTCCAAACCACCCGACTGAGTTAAGATAGTATAATTTAATTTATAGTCCCATATCGATAACCCATGCGTTATGGGAGCGGTCGCCCGCACTCCCAATTACCTATACGATAAGCGACTTATTTACGACCCAACAGCCAGCTAAAGGAATTAAAATTCATTGTTTCTTATCCTGAAAATACATACCTAAAGATACACTAAGGTCAGAAGATATCTCCGGTTTATCTGTAACAAGAATAGGCTTTTAAAACGAGAGGCGCTTGATACCAAGTGGAATAATTACGTGACCTCTTGAAATTGGAAGTTTTCGAAGCGGACAGGACTTCCAGTGATCCATTTGTCTCAAAGTTAAGGTGATATCGGATTTCGTGAATGAATTCAAAGTTTTAGATTATCGAGTGTTAGATAACAATTGACGATAAGGACCGCTTTTATAGCAACGAAGTTCTCGTAAAACGGCGATAAAAGTTTCATTTCAAAGAGTGAAATGTTTATCGCAATTGATTCTTTGTACGAGTTTTTTTTTTTTTGTATTGTTTATTTATTATTGTTTGACCACTTTAGAACTGTGTACGGACATTCTGTAATCCTGTCAGCGCTTAATTCATTAGTGTTAGAGTGAACGGACAAAGCTATGTCCACTATATTTTGGAGCCCAGCACAGTAGAGCGGTCTAAGCGCTTTACAGGACACAATTGCACGCAAAAACGCGTACTGTAGTGCTTGCAAAGCCGTAGGCTACGATTTTTTTGTTACAGTAACGATGAAAATAAAAGTTCGACAAGCTGCCAATCGGGCGAATTGCGGGTACGAATTCTTTCGACTTTTTGAGACTCCGATTTATTTTATTGCACACAACCTTTACGTTCAACGTTACTGTATTAAATAACAATTAAAACAGACCTTTCAAATTGCCTCCTATTAACATAATCAAACAAAGATAAATGCCGTAACGACACGTGCATGAAAACGTATCCAAAATATTTTTCTTAATTTCCCCCTTCATTCTGCAAACAGTACGGAGTTTTAAGCAGTTAAGTGGGCCGACGTTGATGCTGCTAAATATGCGCATATTACAGTATTGTATGTAAAACGAATGATGGTCGTTGTTGCTGATGACCTTAGAGGCTGGGACGCGGGTGCAATGGGGGACGGATTTGAGCCATTAGTAATCCAATATAGCTCCGTCGCCGTGGAACAATTCATTGATACTCGGAGACGACACAGTACTATTCAAATAATGCCCGTCCCAACAAAGAGTATGTTTATTTATGCTGATCGAGGCCGTCCTCATATTTAAGTACCAAAATAACAGAAAGTAACAACCCTTTACTGTTTTCAATTGCACTTGTGAACAATGTATTCAAAATTACTCTGCTATTTGATGGAATAAATGTTATGACAGCCGACAAGGGACAGATAAAAGGAAAATCTTGTTTTTTGTCACAATGTGGCCAGTTACATTTTGCATATTACCTATTTGTATTGATAAAGGTTCATTTAATTATTAAGAAGTATACCAACTAATATAGGACATACTACACAAAATTTCGTACCAAAATAATAATAAGTTACTTAATCCTTCATAAGGACCAAAATGCCACAACGTTCAATGTAAAGCGTACTGAAGGACCATAAAAGTAAAATCACTAGTAAAAAGTTAAATTTACATATTTAATTTATTTCCGCTACAAGTGTATAGACGATGAATGTATCAGATGTTACGGTTACAAGAACTAATGTATCTATTTGTAACTTGTGTTTCCGGCTTTTTACTATCTCGACAAGTAACTCTCCTAATACAGCGATCCTTATACCGGTTGTATTTGTTTTATGGAAAGCTTTTTCTGATTTATTGAATACATTTATTTTACATTTGTTTCCTTAAGGACAGGATTTAATTCTCAATAAAATCAAGATGTTATTACGGGCCTGCGGTCGGCGAGTAAGGGCAGCTCGCCGCCCGACCAGAACCAGGCCCGAGCGTACGGCGCGTAGCGTTCCGCGCGCGCCTCAAAGAGCCAATAGACCACCACAGACGGGGCCCTAAAGGGCTGATGTTCAGCCGGGGTTGCGGGGTAAGCGCAATGAGGTACCGCGACCTCGGCACAGAGCAGGAGAAGGAACAGGGGGGTTTTTAGTCAGTAAGAGTCTGACACTCCCTCCTGCCCGGCCCTGGGCGGGAGAAGTCATTTGATGATTTTCCCCTCACAAAAAAAAAAAAAAAAACATGTCTTTTGTTTTTGACGTAAAAAGGTTATTATTTATATGTTTAGAATCCTACTCGTTGAATTTCCAAGTGTAAAACTTCAACTCATTAACGATGGCTTATTAAAGCAAAATAGATTACGTTCTATAAACCTTTCTTAATGTCGTAGTTGAATTGAAAAACTAGCCGTATAATTTAAATTAAATTTTGTTTCATATAAAACGCTCTGAATTTCAGCCATCAGCTTATTTCCCCCACTACACACTTTCAGTACATTTTCGCTAATTCATCGCGTCGCTTCGGCGTCGATAAGTGGTCGACGGCTCGGCCGGAACTCGGTTTTTTCATCCCGCAAACTCTCAAGAGCACCGCAAAATGTCTTCGAAATGACTTTTTCTCTTTTAAGTACATTTCAACGTTTTTTTTTTTACAATGTAGCACTTAATGTTGGTAGTGTCGAGAGCTTGGGACCAATGTTTGTAAAACTCATTGGCGATGAATAATATTTCATCGTGTTGCGGCTTTATGTCTTTATGTTAGAGGCTTGAAGGATAAGTACTGTTGGAATTAGTGTTTAGAGTGTACATTATAGTTTGTTAAGAGACTGTCGAGATGAGAAAATAATTTGTCTCGTATGTTTGAAAATGGCTTATGTTTAATGGGAAACTAAAAAATATTCTAGGTTCATCAGTCGAAAATTAAGTTCAATAACTATGGACTTAATTTAAAATTAACAGTGAGAAAATAAAAAAGAAAATATACGTCATCAATAAAAACACAATCAAATTACAAATAAACAATAAAACATACTTACTTAAATCGCAATTAAATCCATCAATAATAATAGTCTACATTCAACCACTAATACACAGAACAATCCACAAAATCCAAATTCAAAACAGTCACGTTGAAACGAACTGACGTTTAAATTTCGCGCGAAACGCTTTGAACGAGCGACGCCCTTCCCGTGCGAACGCCGAGGATCAACTGAAGCGGTCTCGGCGGTAGTCTAGACAAGGGCGGTAGGGGAATGACAGGGGAAGGGGGGAATCAACCCCGGCCAACATTTGCCCAGAAAACGGCCAAGCTCAAACATCAATACGGAAGTATCTCATTAAGTATTAATATCATCTACTTTGTACTTGAATTAGATAAAATCATTTGACGTGATATCCCAAACAGATTTGCTGCAGGCGATACCGAAGCAAGATAATTAAGGCGCTTCTGGTATTGAAAACTTTTGCCTGTAAGCAAAGTTTGGAGTTGTAACTTTATTTATTCTTCGGTTCGGTCGGTTTGTGTTCTTTGCTCTTCGGTTTTCAGGTAGATTTTGTTAAAATGACTAGAGGTTGATTTTTTAAAAGAAAACTCCGGAAAGTTATCCTTGGCTTTTTTCTTTTTCAATTTCGTTTCTATAAAATTATTTTAAATATCTTGGTGTGTTTATTTAGGAATACAGATAACTACCATAAAATATTTGATACGAAAAGCACGCATTTTTAAAAGTCTGAAAAAAATATCCTTTTCGGATCAAAATAAGAGTCTGCCAGACAGATAACGAGTAATATAAAACCTATGTTTATATAAATAAGACCTAAATTGTAACACTAGGAATGCCTAAATGTAAATAATCCGCTTGAACTAAAAGTCAATGACTGAAAAAAATAACAAGCGTGCAAATATCCAAACTGTATATTATTTTAATGAACATTTTATTTACGATAACAGAACTGTTAATCTTTACAATCTAGACCATTTGTTTCGAATAAGAAGTATAATTTTATTCAATCTTACATAAATATTTTTTTATGCTTAAAATAAATTTTTTTCGATATGAAGCAAACTTGTGTCTAATTTTGCCAGCGATGCATATGTTGTTGAACATAATATGTAAATAAACACATGAAGATTAAATAGTATTTATACCAATATGGTAACTATAAGATATTACTTTATGTCAACTATAAGATAGTTATATAATATTAGTTATTTGTAAAGTTCCTGATATGAAGAGGCTGGTTTTTTTTTTTAATTTCATACGTACTTGTTGATTTGTAGAAAAGTATAAAAAGTTAATCTTTGTTGTCTCAAAGAAAGAAGCTACACCTGACGGAAAAATTTAGAACTAAAAAGAATTAACGAAATCCGTTGAGCTGTACTCGCGTTTGGTGCTTAGTGGCATATGTTATGTTAAAGATTATTTTTGGATAAAAAATACTCCAACGTATTGAGCAACTTAAAACAAGTAAATTTTCACTTGCGTAATGCATAGTAAAATGACAGAAATAGTTTACTACTATTAGCTGTAACCGCCACTATTTTGAGAACTAGGAACTATTGAAATCTAGGAAACACTAAATATTAATACTTGCATATTTAGTACAATACATAGAATTTTAACGTTGTGACTAATTCCTATTTAATAAGTTGGTCACGAAAGAGGTCGTAGCATTCCTAAACAAATATATTATGTAACGAAAATAGTTTCAACATAACACATAATTATTATTAATGTTTACTTATATACACAATTATTTATATACACATTCACTTATATACATAATTAATATTTACTTATATACACACTTTGCACGGGTGCAGCGCTGATACTAGATTTCTCCACCATTTTAAGGGATGTTATTATACATATAGGATAGGGACAGAGAAAGCGACTTCGTTTTATATCATCTAGTGAAAAATAATGCCTAAATATTTAACTACTTATGTTTTTTTATGTCATACGAGCAGACGGATTACCTTATGGTAAGCAATCAGCGCCGCCCATAGACACCCGCAACAACACAGTAGTTACGAGTACGTTGCCGACCTTTTGGGGATTAGAGATTTGGAGATTTAGAGATAGGGGGAGGGGAAGGATATGGCCTCCGGTAACCTTACTCACACGGCGAAACACACCAACACACTCCAGTCGAGCGACCCATTCGTGCCGAAGCATGGCTCTCCCACACTTATCACTGTTTGACTTAAATATAATAGTTAAATATACTCTAAATTG